CCAAGAGAACTTAACAATCGATTATTGTACTTTTTATTAGAAATTAATTTCGATTATTAATTTATTAAGCACTAATTATGATCTACAAGACCTGATTAAGTGCCTAATTGGTTTTTTTTTTCATGTTGAAATTGGGTGATGAGGAGATTTAACAAGAACAACTTTTAAGCATTTGCTCCCACCAAAAAAATTTAAATTTATTTGAATTCCACCAGCTAACCAATTTATAATGGTTTTTACTTTGAAATAAAAGTATCCTAGAGACGCATTGACTCAATTGTGTCACCGTACTTATGGCCTATTATTGGTTTTGTTTCTTATTGAAGGCCAAACTTCTTCAGTGGTCAGCACGTTCTACGTAGGCCTCTGAATTATTCCTAAAAGCCCACTTGAAAAATGTGCACTGAGAGACAGAGAGAGGAATTTCATCACCCTCAGCGGAGGAGAATATGTCCTACAGCTTGGACAAATTTAGTCGAGAAGCGGCCTTTTGGACTGTCCAATCATCTGATATTCTGTCTGTTGGGGCTTTCGGTCTTGGTGAAACCTTTTCTCTCTTGAGATTAGGCTGTCTGTTTCACTTTGCTCGGAAATTTGTTTTCAGCTTCTGTAGAAAGTTGACCCCTGCGACGCTTGTATTGAGTGGAGGCCCCATAGTAGAGGTTGAAACAGTGAACAAATCCTGAATTCCGATGTCACGTTGCTACAACACCACTTTCAGCAATCATTTATTTATATCAAATGGCAGGCGTTTTGATGGTTATCATTAGCCCTTTAGTTGACTTCAGGCTTCACAGAGGTGAATGAACTTCAAAGTGAAAGCAAGTCGAGAGGGGGGGGGAACAGAAAAGTGTTTTAAAGACGAAGGTAGGAAAGGTAGAAAAAGGTGAGGTGAGTACTGTGGAGGGGGACGAATATGACATACAGTTGGGGGGTGATGGTAGTTTGAAGTCAGAAGTCAACTGCCGGTTCATAGACTTTTTTGCCGTATGTGGAGAAGTCAACTACCAGTTAATAGACTTTGCCGTATGAATATACGTTGCCCAGGGTGCACCACGTGGAGGTAAGTCTATTGAAAAACGAATGCCGAGTGATAGAATTTTTGCCGTAAGAAAGTACGTTGCCCAGGGTGCACCACGTGGAGGTAAGTCTATCGTAGTTAACTGCCAGTTAATAGACTTTTTGCCGTATGAATATAACGAAAGCCGAGTGATAGACTTTTTTGCCGTAAGAAAATACGCTGCCCAGGGTGCACCACGTGGAGGTAAGTCTATCGCACACAAACTTCCGGTTAATAGACTTTTTACCGTATGAGTATACGTTTCCCAGGGTGCACCACGTGGAGGTAAGTCTATCGCACACCCACAGAGTGCACCACGTGGAGGTAAGTCTATCGCACACCCCACTCCAGCAATCATATCACCTCGTGTTTCGTTACTGTCAAGTAGCCACAGCAGCATTGTAGTCGTCTCCATTAAGATTGTCCACTTTATCCCTGATTCTTGTCACAGTATTCAAAGAGCTTTGAGCACTGGCCATCATCTCCCCTATCTCTAAGTCTGAAGAATCGTCCCTTCCTTGATTCATGTTGGGCCT